ATATATATTCACCACGATATTCATCATTTGTGTAATTTTTAATTTTTGAATATATTTTCATTCATATTGATTGGCAAATTTGAAATATTTTTTATACGAAAAAATCTTAAATTTGTTAAAAATTGGATTTTTTTTTAAAGAACTGTATACTTTTCATTAGCATATAATAAATTTTGATATTCATTTTCGATATATTTTAAAATAAGATTTTCCTAATCAAACCCCGGTGCCTGTTTTGCCCAAAAACGAATTTCGACACAAGCAATATGTTAATTGAATCACTCTAATCGGATAAATCATTCTCTCAAAATATCTATTTTTTGCACATTTTGCTCTGTATCTCCGGAACCGCTTGACCTGCCTTCGCAATAATCTTATTTTATTTAATCAATCAATACCAATCAAATCGAAAAACAGCCATTTTAGCACTTTTTGTTCCGAAACTTCGAAATGGCTTGACCTGCTTTTGCCAAAAACTAAACAAACCGTCTGATCGTCAATACGAATCGAACGGTTTTTAGAAGTTTATAAAAGTTTGTATGTGGGCATTCATTATACATTAAAATAATATAATGCCATTGATTTTTAGTAGTTATCTAAATGTTATGATAAAACATTATATGTAACAGAAAAGGACAGCAACCAAAACAACTTGTTTCAATATTCCGTGCGGTTCTATAAAATTTGAAATTATATATCGCAACGTCTGGTAATAAGGTAATTTCAATTTTTGTCTGATGTCATCTTCAGAATTAAAACAACTCAGCTAAATATAAATCAAGAAAATGTTTCAATTCACAATAGATAAATTACTTATAAAATGCATTACATTGCAGCATATCGTACTACAAAATCTCCACGTTTCACTTTGATGAATCTCCACATCGTTCGTTGAAGAATCGATTTTAATTAACTAATTTATCTTGAACGGAATAGAACGCCGGCACTGTAACTATTTCTTTAAAATAAAGGTACGTTTGTTGGATATCAGAGAGGATGCTGATAAATCTGCGATCATTCGTCATGCAACCTTTTGTTCTTATTTCCACGTCGAGTACATATGTCACACGCGTACGTTGTCTTGTGCACGTGTCTTCGTTTCGCGAGTTCTCCGAGGGGTAATCTAACATAACAAATTGGCGGTGTGAAATGTGAATCTTTGCGGCAATTGTCTCTGGAATGATGTTTCTGCTTTTTATGATATATATGTTTGTATCTGCAGCAAAATATCTATTTTTTTGTACTTGTGTAAAAGCATTTTAGGAGTTTTAAATTTTTTAGAGCTTAGCAGGAATAGACGCATCTGCTATTAAAAAAAATAATAAGTTTAGGGTTATTAAATTATAGTTTAGTACATATTATATATATTATTATTAGTAACTATATAGGGTAGAGCGAGTTTTGAATTGTCACGGGTAAAAGAATCCACCGTCTTCATCTCAAACTCAAGTCAAGTTTCGAATTTTTTAACGATATTGGATTTAAGAAAAGGCAATGACCTTTAATTCTTACTATCAAGCTATCAGGATCAGGAGCTAAACTTCTATGTATAAATATTCATAACTATTGTTTGTTGCTTCATTGGTATTTTTTATTTTTGTGCTCTATTATTGCGTTAAACTGCTTTAACTTTCCGTACCGTGTGTAAGATTTGTAATAGCTCTGAAAATAAAGATTTGGTTTTGTGAGAAATTTGCATTTTTATGTACATTTTTGAAAACTTGGGAAAACTACTAAACCTATTTTGATAATTGTTTGTTTGATACGTTTGATCATAGGTTGTGATTTCATTAGGCTTATAGATAGTATAATACTGAAAGTTAAATCAAATCTTCGTGCCCAGATAAGCCCTATTTATAGAGGAAGTCCCGTAACGCCAGACGACACCTACCGCCGGACACTCTATTTAATACGTAATATTTAAGCAAGTATAAATTGTTTTGGCACACAGGTGCCAAGACTCGCGTGTGACGCGCACGGCCGCGGCGGGAGCAACCCTTTGCTGTTTTAGGCGCAAAATCACGGCGTCACCTAAATATCAATGGAAGTAATTCTAGTATATTTATGCATTTCATATTTTAAGTATTCTAGTATATTTATGCATGAATCATATTTTTTGTTACCGAAGTTTGATTGATAGTATTAATCATTTTTTAGCATAGGTTGCGTTTTTGTTAATGTAGTTTCATTTCTAACTTCTAACATAAGTAATAATTTAATAAACGTTTCGTAAAATATTTTTTTATTTATTTATGAATAACCTTAGGTGTCCAGCACTCGGGGACTTCCCCTATATGTATTTTTTTAACCCTATTTAATGTAGCAATCAGAACCCATTTTTTGGTAGAGATATTAATAACTATAAAGAATAGATTATATTGAGGATTAAAATAAACATATCACATATCAGTGAGTAGGGGCAATACAAATACTCGCGTTGATGGGGTATAGTGTAAATAGGGTTTTGGCTAAATTCAATTTTATGTAAAACAATTACATCATTTCTCAGCGTAAAATCCGTTTATTTTTATTTTCTCGAGACTACTTTGCACCAGCATATAAAATACAATTGCTTGAAATAACACCATTGCGAAATAACAAAAATTGTTTTCAATAGATGTAAATATGCATAAGATTGCATAAATAGGATATTAAAAACTTCACATGTATTAAAATACTACTATTAAAATCATTTCAATACATCACAATCTCTGTTTCGTGAGACCACCTGAATTCTCTGATGGATTTAAATTCTCCTATCTTTTAATATCAGCATTATATTTTCGGCGCAATATAATACCTTTCCGATCAGACAATCAACGAGGCAAATAAATTTTTGCATGAGGTTCAATAAAAACTCCCTCGAAAATCCTTTGCGCCGTGGGTTTATTATAATATAGATTTAAAATGCAAATTATTTTTCTGAAATCGAAAAAGTCTGTACGTGGCAAAGTATAATAATTCTTTCGCTATCATTCGATCTGATCCTCTAATACCCGTACTGAACTTCGGAGTTATCGAGTTATCTCAAATGTATTGAATTTAGAATATTATTAAAAATGAATGTTGTATTACCTGACTTAGAATTCATTTAATCTTATATGAATCGTGCATTATGTGGAGGCAAAAATATTGTCCGAGGATTTGGTCAGTAATTTTCGAGTAGAATGAAGTTCAATTATGGGAATCTACGCATATTTGCTTTCGAATTATATGGAGCATAAAAAATTATTTTCAATTGAAATGATAGACATGTAATGGATTCGAAAATGATCAAACAGATTTGTCCCAGTCGTATATTGTTCAATTGAATGATTCTTGTCATATTTGTATTGACTATTTATTTACCTGTTTTAATTGTTCTCGCAAGAGCCGTTCATGTTTTTTTTAGAAATACGATTTGTGAGTTTAAAATTTGAGTATGTTGAAGTGTATATGATCCCAAATATGACAAATTTTGCATTCGTCAATTATTCTTCATTCATCTGAAAAACTTCTGCACCACCAACTTCAAAAATTTGGGATATACTATTGACCTATGTCACTGATTATTTATTAGCAGATAACTTTTTTCTACAATTTTTTTTTCAAAATTTTGAATCTATTTATCATGTTATCAGGTGGGAAATGTGCAGATTGGTTTGTGGTACAGATCTTTTTTTATGGGTTTTCTATATAACTTTTGGGACCACAAATCTGTAAACACAATTGAAAATGAATGAAAGTCGAGGTTTTTATGCACTTATTCTCTAAAATGTTATTATATACCTAGATTTGATAAATCACTTACAAAGAGAACCTCAGGTTTACTTTCCTGGGATTTTGATGGAACTTTGCCTGGTGATAGAGTTATAGTCATACCGAATATCTCAAAATACCATAAACCTATGAGATGTGGTTTGAATACAAAAATTAATTGAAGTTGCAAAAAACAAAATTAAAAAAAAATATTATCATCTCCAAACGTAACTTTGAAAAAATAATGATCACTTCTACCTCGTATTATTGATAATTGAATTCTAATATGCCATTGTTCTATTATTCAGAAGTGTTTATAGTAAAATTTAATATGCAATATTATTATTGCTATATATGTAAATTTATTATTGCATTCATTTATTATAACTAAAAATGCCGGCGCTCGAAATTATTTTATTGTTTGCTGCGGCACCGTGTGTTCTAATAAAATCTTGTCATGCTCATTTTCTTTTTGCATACAGAGGTATTTTTAATCAGATTTTTCTGGACAAAGCTTGGATGTGTGAGTTACTAATCAAGCATAGTTTGCCTTATGAATTAATTTTTATTTATGTTTACAAATTTATGGCACCAAAATTTTCATAAAATCATTTATTTTTTATTTTTATAAGACACAAACTATATTTGTTTATTTCATCCCTGAAAATAATATGAGACAACATGATTACATTATGAAAGATGTTTTTCTTATTAAAATTGTATTAGGAAAGAGCGAGACTTGGAAGTTCTCGCGAGTAAAAAGTTCCAAAACCAATATTCCGAAATCAAGTAAAAAATGGCATTGTTTACCGATACTATTTTGAAAGCAAATGTATTATTAATATAATAATAGTAAATAAAAATGTATATGAAGGTAAAAAAAAAAATGCTACGTGATATAAATTAAATTAATAATTATTTCAACTGATGAATTTTTCTGACACAGTATCAAACCAGGGCTACATATAGAGTATTTTTTGTAAAAAAAATAGGTTCATGCAACTTGAACTTCAAAAAATAGTAAAAAAGCACATTGATAGGTGTTTGTTTGGTACGTGTAATGTGTTATGATGTCATTCATTTGGATTAAACAGTATAATTACTGAAATCGAATTGTAACTTTGTGGCTCGCCCTACCCTATATAAGATACGTATGTGTTTGTAAGTGTATTCATTTGATGCTGTATATTGTTGATATTTAGTGCCAGTATATATATATATATATATATATATATATATTATTCCATCATTATTTCCATCAGGTGCTGTTTACGAAGTGCGGCAGCGTTGGACCCTCGGGCCGGAGCTCTGTGATATGTGGACATCGAGCGACGTCCTCTGCTGCACTGCATCCATTCTGCACTTAGTTGCTATAGCCTTGGACAGGTCAGTAAAACTTATTTAAAATTGAATAATATATATGCCTGAAATGGTTACTACTATCTACTATATATTTTTGTTAACCACCATGCGGGACAGGCACATCTACACAGAAATAAATTCTATAGTTTTAATATTATGTTTGATCAAAAAAGCCCGATATATATTATTCTTCTATATTACAAAATTAAGAGCCTTAGGCTTAGTTATATAGTATTTTGATTAAACTTCATTCTGGAATTGAGTTTATTATAATCAAAACAAATTGTTTAAAATATTACAGACTTTATTAATTAATTCTAAAAATGCATTGAAATTAACTTATTTAAAATTTAATAAAAAAAAGTCCTAAATATTAGATACTTAACAGCAATATGAAGATAATAAATTTACACACGGCTTGTAATTAATCCACATGAGTTATATTAAAATCGATAAAATGATGTCTATAAACTGGTTCAAAATGAATACGGTGGAGAGATCTTGTACATCAAGTGCGGTTTATAAAGAATTTTAGAACACTGATCTTTATTATTCAGAATAAAATTTAAACAATTATAGAACTGAAACAAATAATAAGTTTTGGTCGGAATCGATATATAATCAAATAAATAAATAAAATATAATATTACAACAATTTAGCAATTATACTTTATAATATAATTTAATGTTATAATTCTTGTTTTTATTTCAGTACATATATAAGAAATTGCAACTCAAATTTAAATATGAAAGAAAGGCAAAATTGTAATATCAATCATTAAAATATTAATATATCAACCCAAAAAATATTGAACATATATATAATTTAATTATTAATTTTTATGTTTTATAATTTATAAAATATATTATAATTTGTTTTGCTTTCATAAAAATCTAATTCTTCTGTATGCCAATACAATAACTTATTCTATAAAATTATTGAGATAAAACATGTGAGTCAATATTTCTTAAGCCATTATTTAAGTTTAAAAATTTAGGTCAGGAAAGAGGTTTTTCCACTAGTGTTCTCTGTACTTTAGAAATGCATTCATATAAATCTTAACTGAGACATAAAAATAGATAGAATTGCATTTTGTTCAAATAAGATCGACTCAAATTACGAACTACGGATAATAAAATAACGTTTGCTAAAACTATTCCTGAGTAAATCGGCTATAACAATAAATACAAGAACTAGTTTTCTGTCATGTTATACGATTTTCCCCATTATTTATGTGAGGTACATAAAGGCATTCAGTATAATATATAGATAGTATAGCATACATGTTATTTTATTTTCTTATATGAAAAATCCATACAAATATTGGAATTTAGATATACCAGCTGCTATTGAAATAGTTAATATTGGATGAAAGTGTGCACGCAAATTTTTTCACAATAAGACTGATTTGTATTTTTTGTGAAAATCTGGCCAAATATACACTACTTTTTACAATGGCGACGGCAGATATTAATACTAGAATTCTGGTAGGTTTCGATTTTAATCAATTTACATGTGTATAACTCCTCAATCTGTCTATTAGACAATTTTAATACAATTATTCGTCGGCGATTTTGATTAAAAAAACATTCGAGGACAGGTTTACGGGTGTAGAGGTAGAAAGGTACACAGGTAGATAAGATAGAAACCTAGGATTAACAATTGAATAGGTAGGGGAACGTAGTAGTGACAAGAAAACATACAAACGGGTAGACAAGTGCAAAAGGATTTACTTAGTCATGAAGTCACTTAGACATGTAGTCTCTCAAATAGGACACTTTGATAGATGAACAAGTAGACTGTTAGACAGGCAGATCATATATACAAATCTAATATTTATTGGTTAAATAGATTATTCATACATATATACCCATGCCTACAGCATTATATTAGATTGCAGCGAATGCATTATTTTGACTCGGAACCTTTTGTTGGTAATCAATGCGTCCCTAAATGATTCCAAATTCGAATTTATTTTTCAACCACTATTTTTGGCTTCCAGTAATTACGCAAACACGTTATCCAAATAAGTCGATGAATAAACAAACCATTTAATCCGTTTGCGGAATGTTAAAACGTATTCGAATTGGATTTTCGGCCGCGAGTTTTATATGCATAGACTCTCCGTCCGTAATTGTGTCAATTGCGTATTAAACCAGGGTTGTTTATGTAATATGACAGATTGATGTAATAAACACAGGCTTTGTGTATGCGGATAATTTGCAGAATTAACTAAATTAGTCAGAACAATTTCGTTGTTCGTCGCGTATCACCGAATTCCCGTACGACCGAAGATTAATTACACGACGCTGTAATCGAGAAATATCGTCGCATTATTCAAAATGTTTTAGATACTGAATCTCTAGGGAATAAGTCGTATACAATGTACAACAGCGGTTCTACAACTTTTCGCACAGGTACATACAAAAAGCCTATCTTAAAAACAAACTAGCTGTAAGTGGAATTCTGTCTTGAGGCAATTATGGCATCGTGCCTTAGGGCAAATTGCTGGAATTTCCCGTACCGTAACGAAATGTTCGTGGAATACTGAATGTTTTCAAATAGATTATTATAAATATTGTAACATTGTCTAATATTTATAAGAATTATATAAACTGAATTGCAGAGTTGAAATTATTTGCAAAGTATATTAAAACTATAGTCAGAATTAAAAATAAAATCTGAAATATTTCGATATACAAAAAACTAAAAAAAAAAAAAATGGAACAAATTTTTTTTTTCCAAAATCAATTATTTTGTTAAGACAAGCAGAAAGTTCTTTGAATCATTTAAATCGGACGCTTAGTTCTCTCAAAAATTGCCATTTTTTACATATTTAGCTCCGTATCTTCAAAATGGCTGGGCCTGCCTTTGCCAAAAACTAATAAACACTTCTCCCAATCATTACTAATTGAATGTTTTTTAGATCATTCAAATCGGATACTCCATTCTCTCAAAAATTCGATTTCTATTTTCTGCACTCTTTGCTCCGTATCTCCGAAACGGCTGAACCTGCCTTTGCCAAAAACTAATCAGCTCTTTTCCCTATCAATAGGAATCGAATGTTTTTTGAACCATTCAAATCGGTTGATCCGTACGCCCGAAAACGTGGACGAAAATTTGTATCCATACATACATACACACACACACACACACACACACATCCATTTTTTCTGAGGTATGCCAAAACGTTCAGAAACCTTCAAAACGTCGAGAAATGTAAAAATTTTCAATTCCGATTTTCGGCCCATTACAATAACTTACCCTACGGGAAGTTAATAATATTCGAACAGTTGTATGAAAAGTTTATATATTGGCAGTGAACAGGTTGTAATAGCGTTGAATCCCATTTGAAAATTTGCATTGAAAAATATGTATATAAAGCATTCTTAAAAAAAACTAGAGTGGTGCATGGCATCGTGCCTTAAGGCAAACTAGGTAATTAAAAATCTTGGTACGGAACCCAAAAAAAATTACATAAAATATGTACATATTGATAAAATCTCTATAAAATATCTGATAATTTGATGTACATAAGTCCAATAAACATTTTTAATCCCTAAATAACATTTTTTAACTTATTTTTATTGAGAATCTATAACCGCTGGACCTGCCTTCCCAAAAATGTGAACAGCTCTTCATCTTGTCAATACAAGTATAATGTTTTGAGTTATTATAATCGGACGCTATTATCTAATTAATCTATTGAAAACTGGCACTTTTCTCCCCTTATCTTCGGAATGGCCAAACCTGCCTTCGCTAAAAACTAATATTAGCACATCTTCTTATTAATACGAATCGAATGTTTTTTTTTAATTATTCAGTGTTCGGTGTTCCCGAAATCGTCGACGAAAATTTGTATCCGCACACACACACATATACACATACATACACACGTACACACACATACACACACATAAATTTTTTCTAAGGTATACCAAAATATTCAGAAACCTTTGTAACGTAAAGATATATAACAATTTTCATTTTCGATTTTTTGCGATTACTATAACTTACCCTACGGGAAGTTAAAAATAGTAAAATATACTTATTCTCTACATTTTGACAATAAATAGTGTAAACATTCAAAGATCGGCTCTCAAAAATATAAAAAGATAACTTAATTAGCGTGAATTAAATATAAACGATTAAACACTGTAAATTGAAAATAAATATAATTAAGTAGCTAGTAGTATTATGTAGTTATTATTTTGTAAAATCTCTTCAAAATTAAAAAAGTGTCAGATGACAAATTTAAAAAAATAGAAAATAATTTCTAATTCGGAATTAACTGGTAGTTTTGCTAAACTTATTTCAATAGTTGTTTGTTTTATACGTGTTGAGATGTAGTTCAGACAGAGTAATGATTGAAAATTATGTTAGACCTTTGTGCCTCATCCCCGTTTCAGTGTTTTCAAAATATATTAACTTTTTATTGTGTTTTTCCTGGTAGGAAGTGCTAAATGATAAAGCATATTTTGTGACCAAACATGCTAAATAAATACCTGTAAATTTTTATTTAATTATATTTATGTATTAAAGTTAAATCTAGTGACTATAATAGTGTTAAATAAATATATTTTGGATTACTGAGGAAATTAATTGGTCACAGAAATAGAGACCCCTGTACATGCGAAACTTTTGAAAACAGCATTTGCAATATTTGCAAAAAAAAAACTGGAGAGCTTGTTTTATCATTGAAAATTATTATTAAGTTCAACTGTGAATGAATTTAGTAATTGCAAAAAATTTTATATTTTACTTATACTTTTCTGGATCATTTAAAAGTATCCTTATAGTTGAGTATTATAATCTATGATAAGAAAATCTATATTCCTATGTAAGAAAATCAATATTAAATTTCTGCTATTATCATTCTCAAAACATTGATGTTATGAGTTCTACCGTTGGTTCTACCTTAGTTTGAAAACCATTGTAATGTGACACTAACCACTTTTGGGGCACTCGGCTCAGTTTCCAATGTAGATAACATTAATAAAGCCACCAAACTACCATATGTTTC